AATTAGTTAGGGTTTGAAGGAAGGTGGATGATAGCCGTAGCAAGACAGTGGGTGTTGTAGGTTATAAGCTTTGAGATATGTACAATAAGCATAACAGTTGATACTTTTTGAAAATGTCGGGAGGAGAGTAGTTAGGACATGCAAATGGAAGCTTTAAAATATGTACATCAAGCTTGATAAGTTGTACCTCATAAAAATTTCAAGATAACTGTAAGTGCTCTTTTATAAAGAAGTATAGATAAATAAGGGTGTAAAATTAAAAATGAAGGGATATAACACAAATTAAATAAGTAACTATAAGGTATAACACAAATTAAATAAGTAACTATAAGTTTAATAATGAAATAATTTAAGTTTTATAAAGATAATAATTAAGTATTCTGTTAGAACTCAATTATAGAATACTTAATTATTATCTTAATTATATTTTAGATTTTTTTATATTTAAAATGAGATGTTTATCATGTATTTAATTATATTTATCTGCAGTTAGTTACACGAATTCAGATATGGAATTTTAATAAGTTATACTTACGCACAATCTACTTGTAATCTTGATTTTTAAGTAATATGTATTAATAAAGAGTACTTTATGCATAAAAAATGATTTTTAAGAGTTTTTGTCAAATACTTTATAATATAGTATAGATACATTCTTTTAATAATAGTTTTTACTTTTAAATAAAATAAAATAAACAAATGATGCACTATATATATATATATATATATATATATATAATACGTTAATTATTACCTAAGATGCTCCTTACATGTAGGGAGCGAGATAAAAAATTAGTGTAAAGAGCCAATACATGAAGTCCATTGTGTGGGATTTTTCATGTTTGGTTCTTTACATTAGTTAAAGAGTCGATATAAATAGTCCAATTAAAAATGTTCCAAGTCATTTCAATCAGAATGCAACTGAGTTTTGTGGGTTTACTACAAAACAGAGGAGTCGCTCATTCATGAAATTTTTAGAAGAATTCGACGGAATTGAATTCTAACCGTTTTGTCAACAAATTAGTCTTAAAAATTTTGACCATTGGAATCCATATTTCCAATCCCATTGGCATTCGCCAGAATCCACAAACTAAATATTTTTACGGATGTTTAGTTTGACACAATGTTTTTAAGAGATTTGAATTTCATTGAAGGATTTGAAATGAACTGAATTTAAAATGAATTGAATTGTATTTTCAATTTTTTGTGTTTAGTTTGTATAATTTGAAATGAATTGAATTCAATTCTTCGTAGACAATTTATAAAAACAGATTATTACAAAGCGAAGCTTTTTAACATATTTTAGAACATTATTACAAACGAATCCTATGAAAACTCGTGAAATATCAACTACCTTAAAGATCTATAAATCCAATGTTTGTGGGTTTTCAATTCCGAAACTTTCTAAGCCAAACCACGAAACTGAAATAAAATTCAATTCAAATCCCGTATACAAAACAACCCCTAAACGTTTTGATGCACCGAATCTCATCAGAATTCCATGGTTTTGATGTTGGTGATTGAAGTTGGGGCATTTTGATTTGGTTAAGGAAATTTCGTTTTCCTAGGAACTAGGAATGATGATGGAAGAAGAAGGATAGCAACACATCATGAACTTATGAAGCAGGCATGGATATGGTCCCCTCCCCCAACCTAACCTTAACCCTAACCCTAACCCTAAAGAAACAAAAGTACAACACCCCAACTGTAACATAAATCCCTTCACATGAAACCCCCCATCACCCTTTTGTGAATATTGACCGTTTAAACTAATTGTTGATCGATCTTCGATCCCAAATTACGTGATCGAGGGGTTCGTCTGCAAAACTTGCCATAAATCTTTCGGAGATGATCTTATCAATCTAGATTATAAAACCAAGTTCGGTTATGTTTAAGTTCAAAAACGGAATTTTAGCAAGGTCGTGATCTTGATTAAAACCAGACCAGTAAAACATCAAAGTTCAAAACGGTTATTCGTATCGAAGTTTTATTTGACGATTGTATTAATATTTTTTAAGTATTTAGTTGCTCGATATTAAGTATTTATAGCCAAAAGCTTATAAATATACTCCGGACAATATATTGTAGCTATCATTAAAATTTCTTTTTATAGAAAAATACGATAATGTCGGGTTCTTTTTTCATAAAATAAAGAGTAAGTTACGATTTTTATCCATGTATGTATAATGGTTATTTAGAACCATAAATTTTTATAGATTTTTTCTAAAAGTTATTTTAATAAATCCAAAATTTATATAATATATATATATATATATATATATATATAAT